GAGAGGAAGCTGAAAAGATGATAACATTTCTATCGCTTTAAAGTGCCTCAGACTGATGATTTTGCTGTGTATTTTAGAATTAAATATCGCCTGCTAAGCCTCAAAGAGCTTTGCGCCCTTTGGCTAATGACAACTTTTCTATCTCCTGGTGTTGCATTTCCTCCCGGTCATGGGGTCTCCAAGGGGGCACTTTCCCAGGGGCCTGGCTGTCACAGCGGGGCGCTCCTGGCTGCTGGGCAGAGGCTGGGGACAGTGAGTGTGGGCAGGGCAGCCCCCCCAGGGTCCCCAGTGCCCGCGGGAGGCGTGTTCTCATTAAACACCCAGCTGAGTTGGGGGGGCCACGGCGCACAGTGTTTCTGAAAGTCCTTGGGATCCGCCAGGAAGGAGTGGAGGCGCTCCGAGGTCTCAGTGAGAGTTTAGAAAAGTCCGCGTGTGGCGTCTCTCCGCCCAGCTGCTCACTGCGGTGGTTCCTCCTGGGGAAGGCGCTGCTGCTCAGGCCCGGCCTTGCCTCCGCCGACCGGGGCACAGGTCCCAGGTTCACCGCCGGTGGCTGGGGGTGCGTCTGAAACGGGAGCTCGTGCTCACCCCGGGGATGCGCTTCTCGCTGCCCCGTAAGCGGTCCCGTCCGTGTTCGTTTCAGATCTCGCCAGTGAAGAGAAGAAACGCCTGGAGGAGAAGCAGAGAGCCGCGCGCAAGAACAGGTCCAGGTCGGAGGAGGACTGGAGGACCAGGTGCCTGGGACCTGGGGGCGGGGCTGCGCGGGGGCGGGGCTGCCGTGGGGCGGGGCTACGGCGGGGCGGGGCTGCCCCGGGGGCGGGGCTGCCTCGGGGGCGGGGCTGCCTCGGGGGCGGGGCTGCCGCGGGGGCGGGGCTGCCTCGGGGGCGGGGCTACGGCGGGGCGGGGCTGCCTCGGGGGCGGGGCTACGGCGGGGCGGGGCTGCCTCGGGGGCGGGGCTACGGCGGGGGCGGGGCTGCCTCGGGGGCGGGGCTACGGCGGGGCGGGGCTGCCGCGGGGCGGGGCTACAGCGGGGCGGCTCTGCATGGGGGTCTTGGCTGCCCTGGGGGCGCAGGTGTGGGCGTGGGGAACGGCAGAGCAGGCTCAGGTGCCCCCCAGACTGCTCCTGGGCCGAGAGGGGTGCTCTCCACCAAGCCCTCGCGCCGCCAAGAGAAGGGCTGTTTGGAAGTTGAAGTATCAATGTGCCCACAGTCATGCCAGGAAAATGCCAGTTAAGAGGAGCCCCCCAGCCGGGCCCAGGGAGGGAGGGAAGCCGCGCCGGCGCCGGCCTGCACACATCTCAGCCGCCTGCTCACCTGGGCCGGTGTCGGGACGGTAGATAGGTCTCTCCTCTTCCAGACACGAGGGACTGGGCGAGTATGGACATAGGATTTGCGTGAAGGACACTGGACTCCACTCAGAAGTAGAAAGTGGACCATAAATTTCTGAGTTTTGAAAGTGATTTTTTAAGACTCAGGAGCTGCACGGAAGCCTAACCGTTTGCATCAGACCATCCACCCCAAGGTCCAAGTCCCCTCTCCAGTGCAGAGTCAGGGCCCCCACCCCCAACAAGCCCCCGCGAGGCCTGCAGGCCTGACACGGTCTTTAGAGAAAACAGCCTTTGCTACCAAGCCCACCACTTTGCGAAATGGCTCCCGCCAGCTTCCTCCTCCCCGCTCCCTCCGCTCGGTATGGGAGAAGGTGGCGGGCCCTGCGGTGGGTGAGTGAAGTTCCTTGTCGCTCCCTGACTCGGAGCTGCCATCTTCTCTGTTGTCGGCTCTGCAGGCCTGACTACAAGTGCTGCTGCTGCTCCAGTTTTGAGACCCAAAGAGCATAACTGTGCTTCACACTGGGCGACAGTTCTGTGACTTCGACCAAGTCACGGGCCCTTAATATTTATCTAGTTGGTTACCAAAGTCTGAATGATAGATATTTTGATCGTCTACACGAGGCTTTTCCATTTTCTAATTAGGGAAAAGCCCGCAGAGCTAAATAATGTATGTGATTTTATTCTAGAACACTCGGTCCAATGGGCATTTACTAAATGATGCTTCAAGGAGTTGGCCTGACCTCAAGTGGTTTTTCTCAGGGTTTTTAATGCTTCTGTAGTGATAGGAACATTTGGGACTTAGCAAACAAATCAAACCTCACTTTTTAAAAAATATATATTTTTATTGATTTCAGAGAGGAAGGGAGAGGGAGAGAGAAACATCAATGATGAGAATCACTGATCGGCTGCCTCCACATCCCACACTGGGGATCAAGCTGACAATCCCAGCATGTGCCCTGACCAGGAATCAAACCCTGACCTCCTGGTTCATAGGTTGTTACTTAACCACTGAGCCACACCAGCCGGGCTCACCTCACTTTTAATCTCTAAATATTTAATCGCTAAATATTATTAGAAGCGATTTATTTGGAGAGAATGGCAAAGGCAGTTAAGACCTATGTTCCTAAGTGTTACTCTGAAAACAAAATCCTCGTTAGAAGACGTTGCACTCACCTGAACCGCTGGGCAAGTAGGCCTGCACTCCCGTGACTGAGAGGAAGCTGGGGCCCTGGGAAAGGGGCCACTGGTCTTTAAAAGGCAAGACAGTGACTAGAGCAGATTAGAAGACAGGTTAGGATGCTGGAGGCTGGTATGCAGCCCCAGGCCAGGTTAGCACGGAGAAGGGGAGAAGGTGAGACCCAGGAGATGTGGGTGAGATACCTCCCGTGAACTACGTGTAGTGTGATGTTTGAAAAGCCACAGTCTTTAAAATCAAACTCAACTTTGATAGCAGCTGTTAGCTTGGACGAGGCATTCATCTCCTCAACATCCAGCTCTTCTGTACAATGGAGCTTTAAGGGTTTTTTTTGGGGGGGGGAGGGGGACATTTACTCTGAACTGTGCAAAAACATTACTGCAGTTAAGTCGTGAAAGTTCATTTTATCCCAATTCCCTATTTCTAATTGCTTTTAAAAGAAGGACGTCTAGTAGAGTCCCTTTGCCTACTTCCCCATGTAATCTCTGTCCTTCTGTCCAATACAAGCAGCTGGCTGATGGTGGGGAACAGAGCAGACTTGTGGGTGACCTTTGGCTCTCCCAGCTGCCAGCGGGATTGGGGTAAATGCTCATATAGGATTCCATCCTGTCTCTGCTGAATTGGCTCAAGTAGTGACAGGCAGCGCGGACCCATCGATTGTCCAGTTTCAATATATATGAAGAAAATAACTCCTAATTTCTAATTGCTTTTAAAAGAAGGACTTCTAGTGGAAGGTAGTGGGCCTAGAGGATGAACAATTAGACAAAAACATTGGTTCTAACAACCCTTAGAGACAGGAGATCCTAATTCTGCTAAGCAACTTGGCTAAGTGCTGTGGGGAATCTGCAAGCCCTTACCTCACACCTTCCTGTGAACTGCTGCCCAGGGAGGTCCTGGGGCTGCAGGCCCCTAAACCTTGGCCTCTCTCTCCACAGGTGGTTCCATCAAGGCCCCAACCCCCACAACGGGGCCCAGGACTGGCTCTACTCCGGCAGCTACTGGGACAGAAACTACTCGAACTTGCCTGACATTTATTAAAGTGCAGACAAGGCAGGGCGTTGGGCTAATCCACAAATCCGTCTTAAACCTGTGTTTTTAAATGTTTTTCTTTGGTTTCTACTCATCTTTAAAAAAAAAAAAAAGAAAAACCCTGCTCATCACTTGCATTTCACCCCCAAAAATAGGGCACAAGGTGACCCCGGTGATGGGAACCTCCCAGAAAATGGGTCCTTTTGCTGCTGAAGGTGCTGAGTGGGGCGCTGTTGTGTACAGAGGGCAGAGAACTGCGGGCGGGCGCTTTCCGGAGGCTTCGAGGCTCCGGAAGGCGGATACCTGAATGTAACTTCAGCTTTATGAAATTATATACCTACATGTAACTTAGCTTTATAAAATTACAGAGTTATTTTGGCTACTTTATGCTGTCGGGCTTGAATGTTTTAGATGTGACTTCGAGAGGCATCGACCTCTCCTGACACTGCTGGCCGCTCAGGTGCAGAGAGAGCTTGGGGGAGAGGCCGGTCCATCGGCCCCCAGCCCCTCCCTCCACACAGGCCGGGCCTGGGGAGCCACAGGGCGGCTCTGCCTTGAGGATTCTAATGAACGGACCGAAAGGCCTTTCGTTTGCTTCTTGCAGTGCTGTTTACTTTCACAATCCTGTAACCAGCCGCTAGGATTAAGAAGTGTTTAACTGTCCATGTTCAAACTGAAAATATGTATGAACTCTAGCACTTCACAGACATGCCCTAGAAATAGAGTTTAATCACCGTTATGACATAATGACTCGGCGGCCGCCGGAAGTTCAGCCTCAGCCTCATCGACCTGTGGACGGGCCGTGCTCCCAGGTCTGCGGGGCCCGGGGAGACGCGCCCAGGAGCCTGGCCCTGCATTTACCCCGGGCGAGGGCTGCTCCGGGCCCAGCGGCTGCAGCAAATGATTCTCGTTGCTGTCCTGACCTTAACAAGTGTTATGACGAAATAATCTGCCTGATGCAGAATAAAGGCTTTAGAGCGCCCCAAGCGTGATTTCTTTCGTTCAACTGTCGAATGTGCTCACGTTGCCAGCTCCATGCGACCCGAAGTGACCACGAAGGTCCTTGTACTGCCCGGCCGGGCGGCGGCTCCGGGGTTGAGCCAGGAGGTCCGGGTTCGAGTCCCCATTAGGGCTCCGGGCGCAGCTCATCCCCGGCGCGGGGCGCACAGGAGGCGGCGGGTCCAGACCCTCACCCTGGGGGTCGCTCCCCCCAGTCCCCCCTCCCCCCCTCCCCCATCCGCTCTGGAATCAGCGGGAACGGGTGCTGTTCTGAGACCCAGACATGGAGCGCCTGGGACCCAAAGGAAAGCGGGGGGGGGGGGGGAGGGGGGGGCGAATGGGGCAAACGCCCACCCTCCCCGCTGTTGGGCGCGGGGCGAGCCGGCCCGGGAAGCGGTCCAGCCCCGACCGGAAGCGGCGGGAAGCGGAGCCCCGTCCTTCCCGGCCCGCGGGGGCGGCCACGTGGGCAGCGGAGCGCGGGCGGCGGCTCCCGGAGACGCGGAGGGTCCCGCTCGCCGCTCGGGACGGACGGACGGACGGGCGCAGGGAGGGGAGGGAGGCGGCCAAAGACCCCGCGGGACCCCGACCACCGGGAAACGGCCCGCAACCCGGAAGCAGATGCGGCTGCGGTTCCGGTCGGGCCCCCGCACCGGCTCCGCGCTCCGCCCGCGCTTGCTCTGCGCCCCGGACCCGGACCCGGACCCGCGCTGTGGCCGATGGCGGAAGGGGACGCCGGCAGCGACCAGAGGCAGGTGAGCCGGAGCGCCCTCCCCCCGCCCCGGGCCCCGGTCCCTCCCAGCCTCCCCCGCGACCCGGCCGCCCGCGGTTCTGCGCCCCTTCCCGTCGCCGCTGGGTCACCTGGACGAGCCGCTGGTTTGGGCCCCGGGAGACGGACCGGACCATCCTGGCTCCCGGCCCCCCTCCCACCCCGCGCGGTGACTCCCGTCCTTCCCCGAACCCGGGGGCGGGGGGTGGGGGTTTTGGGGAGGTGTCTCCGAACCGGTTTTTTTAAATTAAATCTTTATTGTTCAGATTATTACAGTTCCTCTTTCCCCCCCACAACTCCCCTCCTCCCGGTTCCCGCCCCATCCTCCGCCCTCACTCCCCACCCACTGTCCTCATCCATAGGTGCACGATTTTTGTCCAGTCTCTTCCCGCATCTCCCACACCCCTTTCCCCCCCAGGAATAGTCAGTCCACTCCCTTTCTATGTCCCTGATTCTATTATAGTCACCAGTTCATTCTGTTCATCAGATTATTCACTTGATTTTCAGATTCACTTGTTGATAGATGGGTATTTGTTGTTCATAATTTGTATCTTTACCTTTTTCTTCCTCTTCCTCTTCTTAAAGGATACCTTTCAGCATTTCATATAATCCTGGTTTGGTGGTGATGAACTCCCTTAGCTTTTTCTTATCTGTGAAGCTCTTTATCTGACCTTCAATTCTGAATGATAGCTTTGCTGGATAAAGTAATCTTGGTTGTAGGTTCTTGGCATTCATCACTTTGAATATTCCTTGCCACTCCCTTCTGGCCTGCAAAGTTTCTGTTGAGAAATCAGCTGACAGTCGTATGGGTATTCCCTTGTAGGTAACTGAGTTTCTTTCTCTTGCTGCTTTTAAGATTCTCTCTTTGTCTTTTGCTCTTGGCATTTTAATGATGATGTGTCTTGGTGTGGTCCTCTTTGGATTCCTTTTGTTTGGGGTTCTCTGTGCTTCCTGGACTTGTAAGTCTATTTCTTTCACCAGGTGGGGGAAGTTTTCTGTCATTATTTCTTCAAATAGGTTTTCAATATCTTGCTCTCTCTCTTCTTCTGGCACCCCTATAATTCTGATGTTGGTACGCTTGAAGCTGTCCCAGAGGTTCCTTACACTATCTTCGTATTTTTGGATTCTTTCTGCTTTTTGCTTTTCTGGTTGGGTGTTTTTTGCTTCTTCGTATTTCAAATCTTTGACTTGATTCTTGCGATCCTCTAGTCCAGTGGTTCTCAACTTTCTGGCCCTTTAAATACAGTCCCTCATGTTGTGACCCAACCATAAAATTATTTTTGTTGCTACTTCATAACTGTCATGTTGCTACTGTGATGAATCGTAATGTAAATATCTGATATGCAGGATGGTCTTAGGCGACCCCTGTGAAAGGGTCGTTCGACTGCCAAAGGGGTCGCGACCCACAGGTTGAGAACCGCTGCTCTAGTCTGCTGTTGGGAGTCTGTATAATATTCTTTATTTCAGTCAGTGTATGCTTAATTTCTAGTTGGTCCTTTTTCATATCCTCCAGGGTCTCACTAGATTTATTGAGGTTCTCACTAAATTTATCGGTGGTTTCTAGAAAATTATTGAAAAACCTTATAACCGTGGTTTTGAACTCTATATCCAGTACTTTGCTTTCCTCCATTTCTGTCATTTGTGACCTGTTTCTTTGTCTCCGCATTTTTTTATGCTTCCCTGTGTTGATAGAGTGGCTTTCTGTGCTCGGTGTCCTATAGGACCCAGTGGCTCAGCCTCCCCAATTACCTGAGGTGGACACTCTTGGTGCACCCCCTTGTGGGCTCTGTGCACAGTATTGTTGTAGTTAAGCCTTGATTGTTGCTGGTATCACTAGGAGGAATTGACCTCCAGGCCGATTGGCAGTGAGAATCAGCTGTGTCTACCGTGGGAGAACTTCTGTGCTGGAGACACCCTTATGGGGCAGGACTTGCTTCAGTGGGGCTTTGGTGCTCACTGAGTCTGCCCCCTGAGTGTGTCCCTTATGGATCTGAGGAGTTGTAATCTGGATGGTCCCCCTCTGACCACTGGGTACACTGGCTCTTGGATCTAAGGAGGTGCTAATTTAGCCTCTGCCTGAGGCTACCCAGCAGGAGCTATGGAGAGATCTGCAGATTCCCCTTCCTTGTTTGGGGTTAGGAGGTGCCCAGATGAGGCCCAGCTGTGAAGCAATGCAAGCTGCTGTGGGGCCTTGGACCTTCTCTTGGAAGTTCTGGTTCTGTCTGGCCCAGCTGCAGTTCGTTAGGTAATTTTCAGATTGCCAAGGGCCGGGGCATTCATATGCAAAAGCCTCTTCGCACAGGTTGGGTGGGGCGGGGTCTCACGGAATCAACAGGGCGGAGCAAACAGCTATGGCTGATCCTCAGCCCTGCCCTAAGGGGCCCCGCATCTCAGTGTCCCGGTAATTGCTGCAAGCACCTCTGAGGGAAAGCCACCCTCGAGTTCCGAGTTCTGCCTGCTGCCAGACAGTCCAGTTTCTTCCCGTATGAGTCTGGGTCCCCAGAAACTCGCCCGGAACTGGAGTCAGGGCTGTCGGGACCTTTTGTCTCCCTCCTGATTGAAAAAGACAGCCACGTCCTCAGTTGCCAGCCCTTTCCACGTGCGCCTCTGTACCTCTGCACTTTACTTCCGCATCTCCTCTGAGTCTCAGTGTGCTTTTCTCTTTCCTTCTAGTTGTAGAATTTCCACTCGGCCAGCCTTCCTATGGTTCTGGGTGATGTCCGTTTTGCCCTTTAGTTGTATTGTTGAAGTGGTTGTGCATGGCAGCGATTTCCGGTGTTTACCTATGCTGCCATGTTGGTTCCTCCTCTGAACCGTTTTGATCCCTCCCCCCTCCTGCCCAGATCCAACCCGGGGAACGGAAAATGGCGGGAGGAGGCGAGCCCTGGGGGAAGGGCTCCCGCTGACCATGGGAAGGGCCCGGGTGCGGATTCACCCTCCCACCCGCGGGTGGGGGTGCACTTGGTTCCCAGGGTGGCCACTGCTTGGCGTGGAGCAGCCACGTGGCCCCTGACCCCCGACCCCTTAGGCCACCCCAAGGGGAAGGCTGACCAGCCAATAAGAATGGTCATCAGTGTCCACGCCCCACCCCCACCCCAACCCACACTCACACCCACACCCACATCCTCACCCCCACCCCCCCACCCACACCGTCACCCACCCCTACCCCCTCACCCCTCCACCCACCCCCACACCTCCACCCACACCCTCATCCACCCCCACACCCTCACCCACACCCTCACCCACCCCCACCCCCCACACCCTCACCAACACCCACCCCCCACTCACACCCACACCCCCACCCACACCCCCATCCACACCCTCACCCACACCTCCACCCACACCCCCCACCCACACACTCATCCACCCTCTCACCCACCCTCCTACCCACACCCACACCCACACCCCCCCTCATCCACACCCTCACCCACCCCCACACCCAAACCCACACCCTCACCCACACCCTCATCCACCCCCTCACCCACACCTCCACCCACACCCCCCACCCACACCCTCATCCACCCCCTCACCCACACCCTCATCCACCCCCTCACCCACCCTCCCACCCACACCCCCACCCACACCCTCATCCACACCTTCACCCACACCCTCATCCACACCCTCACCCACACCCTCATCCACCCCCTCACCCACCCTCCCACCCACACCCCCACCCACACCCTCATCCACACCTTCACCCACACCCTCATCCACACCCTCACCCACACCCTCATCCACCCCCTCACCCACCCTCCCACCCACACCCCCACCCACACCCTCATCCACCCCCTCACCCCCCCACACCCACACCCCCACCCACACCCTCATCCACACCCTCACCCACCCCCACACTCACACCCTCACCCACACCCTCACCCACACTCACACTGTTTTGTTTTTTTAAAAATATATTTTGTTTATTGTTGATCGTGTGACAGGCGTCAGGCTGGTCCCGTTGAAGGCAGATGTCTTACACACCAACCGGGGAGGCGGGGTTCCAGCCTTAGGGCGTTTGGTTTGTTAGCCCCCCTTCCCCACTTCTCGCAGAATGAGGAGATCGAGGCGATGGCGGCCATCTACGGCGAGGAGTGGTGTGTCATCGACGACGGCGCCAAGATCTTCTGTATCAGGATCAGCGACGACATAGACGACCCCAAGTGGACGCTCTGCCTGCAGGTACCCCTTCTTTTCCTCCCCCTCCCCCTCCTCCCCCTCATCCTCCCCCCCCCTCCCGCCCCTGCAGCCGCGCCATTGACTCCAGGACCCACTGCTGTCGGGTCCCCCAGTGATGCTGCTTGTGCAACTTCTTTGAATTGTCTTTTTGTTGTTGGGTTTTGCTAACCATCGATGATCTAAACCTGTGAGTCATCACATCTCAGCTCCTGCTAAAGTCGTGCTTTGATGGATGGTCCCAGCTTTCTCTCAGTTATCTAAGTCACGCGAGTGTCCTCCACGCGCCCTGCGCTGCGTGTCACGCCTCCTGCCCGTTTGGTGGGTGAGGAGTGGAGCTGGGAGAGAGCTGATGTTTAGGAGGAGGTTGGTGACTCGGCGGTTCCCAGCCTCGGCCCTCGTTTCTGTACCAACAGCCAGTGTGGTCAGGATAGATCAGCGAACGGATCGGCCTGGCTTCTGTCTTAGTGCTTGTCCTGTGATTGCTGCCTGTACGTAGCCACGTAAGAGATGCCAAGTTGAGTTTTGTCGGTACAGTGGGGCCTTGACTTATGAGTGTCCCGACTAACGAGTTTTTCGAGATATGAGCCGTCTCTCGGCTGATTTTTTTGCTTTGAATTGCGAGCTAAAATTCGGGTTACGAGCCAGCTTCAGATACCCCACCGCTAGTTGGCGCAGCGAATATCACAGCGAACGCCACAACATCGGCCCAGCATCACGTGTCTCACTCGTTCACTGTTGATTTGACATACGAGTAATTTGAGTTACGAGCTCCGTCACGGAACGAATTAAACTCGTAAGTCAAGGCCCCACTGTATTTGTTTTTGTAATAATACATTTTGCAAAGAGATCTCTGTGGTTCTCTAAGTGTTAGCTCATAATCTAATTAACAGGCTATAATAGCATTAAATATTCTTTTAGTATTTCTTCAGAAAAAATCTCCGGAACATGTTATAACGCCACTCCATTCACTTAGAGTTACAGTGTAACGACCCTATTTCAGTTTTTCTTTCCTTTCATCTTTATTTTCTAACGTTTGTTGCGTTTAAACTTTCTCTGCAAATAGTAAATTCCTTGTTAAAAATTCGGCCTCATCATTGGCGACGTCTTTAAAGTAGAAGCATGAACATGAGGCGGGAAGTCTCTCGAGACTTTGCCAAACAGTGTTCTGGTTTTGGAATCTGTCTGGCGACTGGCTTTAGAACGACACCCTTTTGAGCCATGACAGGTAAGCATTGTGTTTAAACTGCTCCGCAGGTGATGCTGCCGGACGGGTACCCGGGCACAGCGCCCCCCGTGTACCAGCTGAAGTAAGCTCTGTTTCTGTTTCTGGCTTTTTCAATTGTATCGTTTTTGCTTTAACGTCTCGGAAGTCAGCATAGTTTTATTTTACTTTAAACAGTTGCTTTGTTTGTTAGTTTATTTGTTCATTAGATTCCACCTATAAGTACAGTCACGTGGTGCCTGTCTTTCTCTGACTGTTTTATTCACTTAGGGTCATGCTCTCCAGTCCCTCCAAGGTAAGACATCCTTTTTGCGGCTGAGTAGTATTCCATCCTGTAAATGTAGCTCTGTTTTCTACATTAAATTTTTATAAAAATCATCCTTTCCAAGGATTGTGTGTACAAAGTATCTTATCAGAATGTATATAGAAATTAATGCCTTTTGGGCTTGGTATAGAGCATTTAAATAAATTTAATTACATAAGAACATGGTGACGTACGTCACTTACTGTTGTCCTAGAGATGGGGCAGGACCTTTAGACAAACTGGTATCTTGAAACCCCAACTGTAGAGCTCCTCCGGCCAAGCTCCGCCCCAGGTCCACCCGCAGGTCCTTGGCGTGCCTCGGCCTAGCCTGCCTCCAGGAATTACCCTAATGCCCCCAGGAATTACCCCTAATGCCTCCAGGAATTACTCTGGTGCGCCCAGGGCTCCTTTCCACCCTGCGTTGTTGAGGAACCAACCGCTTGGCGGCCAGAGCATAATCTGAGTTCCGTGAGCTGCTGACGTGCGTCACCTTGGCTTGACCTTGCCCCCTGACCTTCTAGGAAGTTTAAACCCTGGGAAAAGAATTGAATTGAATCTCAAGGACTCAATTTTTTTGTTAATCCTCACCTGAGGATGTTTTTCATTGATTTTAGGGAGAGTGGAAGAGAGAGGGAAAGTCAGAGAGAAACGTCGATGTGAGAGACACACATCGATGGGTTGCCTCCTGCATGTGCCCTGACCAGGGCCCGGCCTGGGGAGGAGCCTGCATCTGAGGTCCGTGCCCTTGACCAGAATCGAATGTGGGACCCTTCCGTCCGCAGACCGACGCTCTATCCACTGAACCACACCTGCTAGGGCCAATGACTAAATTTTTACCTACCGGGGGATTGCGTTTCGTATGAGTGTTTTGAAACCATAGCTCTAACATTTGCTGTTAATAATGGGCCTGTACTGTTAAGCTTCTTTATTTATTAAAAACGATAGATATAAGTATAGAATACTAGTAAACACTCGTGCCCTTTTCAGAAAACCTTAACATCTCTTACAGTCACGTGGCACCTGCCTGGTTTGTTACAGCTGTTCTGAGATGCCAGCTGGGGGGAGCTGGGGACCCGAGAGAGCGGCAGACCCCGGTGCGTGTTCTGCCCCTGGCGTAAATGCCGCGGTCTCGTGGTGTCCCCTGAGCTCACCGCCTTGTAAACCACATTTAATGGGATAACATTGGTGTTGGTTTCGTCGGGGTTTCCTGGGAAGACTAAACGAGTTAATGCCAAGGGAGCGTTTTTGAACTGTATTAACTTAAGACGACATTTTAATGAAAATAATTTTTGAAAGTGAAACAAAACTAATTGGTGAGGTAAGCCATAATTTACGTGTGAGATGTAAACATAAGCCTTGAGTAATCTCTGCTTTCTTTCCTTCCATCGTAGTGCTCCTTGGCTTAAGGGGCAAGAACGGGCAGATCTGTCGAACAGCCTGGAGGAGATCTACATGTAAGTGACGGCGAGTGAACCGCTTCCCTGAGTGACCGTGTGGCTCTTGTTGGAACTGAGATGTGGGGCCTTTTCGTGAGCGAGGAGGGTGGCTTGCAGAGTCCTGGCAGGTGCTTACATAACTTTAATGCACATTCAGTGTCAGGCTGTGTTGAATGAGACGCGTAACACCGGAATCCTAAGCATCATTATTTATTAAACTAGTCATTTTAATAGGAATTTTTTTGTATTATGCCGTAAGACTTAGGGCCTATTAAATATACTGTATTTTTTTGTTGTTGTTGTTAATTCTCACCCAAGGATATTTTTCCATTGATTTTTAGAGAGAATGGAAGGGAGAGGGAGAGGAGAGAGGAACATTGATGTGAGAGAGACACATCAATTGGTTGCCTCCTGCACGCACCCCAACCTGGGCCAGGGAACCTGCAACCGAGGTACGTGCCCTTGACTGGAATCGAACCCGGGACCCTTCAGTCTGCGGGCCAGCACTATCCACTGAGCAAGCTGGCTAGGGCTACTGTATTTTTTACTGTTCCATTCATTCAGCAAATAGCATGTGGCTGGCGTGTGCTAGTCCTGGATACACAGTTAGCAGAACTGGCCATGGCCCGTTCTCAGGGCGTCTAGAGTTTACTGGTGGGAGAAACATTACTTATGACATCGTAAAGTTAATGAGAAACTGCAGCTGTGACGCAGAGGACATGGGCGCGCAGCGCTGATGAGGCCTGTGAGGAGGCAGACCTGCTTGGGCGGGGGTGGGGGGGGGGGACTGACTAACGGCTGCGTCACGTGGGTGGAGGTTCTCCAGGGGAGGCCACGCGTGTGCAGCGGCTCCGTGTTACCGGCTTGCACATCTCCAGGCACAAGGTGATGGTGGCGTGAAGGGGAGAGAGGCAGGGAGAGGGGCCTGTGGGGGTCACCTGGGGGAGGCGGGCCCCGCATGGTCCGTGGGCCGAGTTACAGCTTGCTGCCCTCGTCCTGGTCCCAGGGCGGAGAAGGTCGGTGTGGGATGCAGGACAGGGTTTCCTGTTTCTGTGTGAGGCTGATTGGCAGGGAGCAAGCAGAGATGTGGGCCAGAGAAGATGCGATTGTGGTTTGGGTTAATCGGAGTAGGAGGCCCTCCATTGGGAGAACAGATGACGCTCAGTGGGAAGGTCGCTGTGTGTCTCAGGGCTGCCCTCCGGCAGCGGGAGCTCCCTCCCTGTGTGCGCCGGACCCGGCCAGGCCCTTTCCCTCCCAAATACTTAATGAAAAGTGTGTGCTGCGTTTCTTCCTGGTCCTCAGACTCACACTTGACTCCGGAAGGACGCAGCCTGGACATTCCGATAGGGGCGCCTCGCTTAGGGGTTCTGCTCCTCAGCATTCAAATGCCTGTCGTCTCCTCGGGGACACGGTTCCCTCCCCCACTGGCCACGCCCGCACTGGGGCCCTACACGCTTCCTCCTGCAGCCGTTGGCTCTGCCCATTTATCCTCCGTTAAAGTGGAGGAAGTCAGACGATGCAGATTGCCCACCAGGGGTGACGTCATTGCACTTCACTTTTCAGTTTTTACTCGGCCTCTGTAAGTTGGGGGGTGAACGCTCCCTCTTTCTGGAACATTTCCCACCCGTGGCTCCTGTCATGTCAGTCATATTCATCAGCTACACTCCTCTCCTCCCTGTGCACAGTGTCCTGCCTCTGCCTTCTCCACCCAGAAAGCACCCCTTTCCTCAGAGACACCCCACAGGGCACAGCTGCTGTCCCCTCGCGATGGACTGAGGCTTGGGCAGCATCAGGAAGACAAGGCCGTTGGTCCTCAGGATGGAACGTGGTCAGACGTGGTCGGACTGTCCTCCTTATGCAAAGCTCCTTGGCAGTGTTTTCACACGTTGGTCAAAATAGAAGGACGATTCGGTTTTTAAAAGTTCTGTGGGACAGCGTTTAACCATCGTTTTCCATAAAAGTCCCAGCAGGGGCAGCAAGCAGAAAGCATCGGTGTTTGGGAAATGAAGCATGAGATCAATGTATGAATATAGTATTGAACGTTCATGTTTTCATGATGCTCTAAAGATGGTAACTGTCTGCATTTCCTATTGATTTAGCACCATTTTGAATGCCAAGGCTGATTTTTGCCGGACGGGAAGATGGATTCTAGTTTAGGGAGGTAAGAAGTCAGACACTAGCAGGTCCTCGTAGCGTTGATCGATTAGTTCCGGCCTGCGGGCGCTCTATTAGGAGTTTGGAAATTGAAAAGAAGAGCCGCAGCCCACTGTTGTGACATAATCACGGAGAGGTCTGGCTCCAGAGCGGTGACAGCGTGTTAGAGGTGGTAGCAGCTCTCGCTCGCTCTGGGCACGCGGTGAGGCTGACGAGGAGGGTCCATGGCGACGGTGAGCTGTGTTTGCCAGGTAACAAGAGGGGCAGGCTCCCTGAGAGACAAGATGGCATCGGCTGCATCGTGCAGGCCTGGAGCCACCGGCGCCTCCAGTTCAGCAGTCCTTTCAGATGCAGGTGTAAACGAGGCAGGTGTGCGGGGAAGCGCCTGTGAGCTGGGGTGGGGGGGTGTGGAGTGAGCTGAGGCGGGGAGTGTGGTGTGAGCCGGGGGGGGGAGTGTGGAGTGAGCCGGGGGGGGGGGAGTGTGGTGTGAGCTGCGGGGGGAGTGTGGTGTGAGTTGGGGAGTGTGGTGTGAGTTGGGGAGTGTGGTGTGAGTTGGGGAGTGTGGTGTGAGTTGGGGAAGTGTGGAGTGAGATGGGGGAGTGTGGTGTGAGTTGGGGAAGTGTGGAGTGAGTTGGGGGGAGTGTGGTGGAGCTGCGGGGGGAGTGTAGGGTGAGTTGGGGGGGAGTGTGGTGTGAGTTGGGGGAGTGTGGTGTGAGTTGGGGGGGAGTGTGGTGTGAGCTGCGGGGGAGTGTGGTGTGAGCTGTGGGGGGAGTGTGGTGTGAGTTGGGGGAGTGTGGTGTGAGTTGGGGGCGTGTGGTGTGAGCTGTGGGGGGAGTGTGGTGTGAGCTGCGGGGGGAGTGTGGTGTGAGTTGGGGGGAGTGTGGTGTGAGTTGGGGGGAGTGTGGTGTGAGTTGGGGGGAGTGTGGTGTGAATTGGGGGGAGTGTGGTGTGAGCTGAAGGGAGTGTGGTGTGAGTTGGGGGGGAGTGTGGAGTGAGATGGGTGTCCCGGTGCGCAGGGTGGCGGTGGAGAGCAGTCGGTGACTCTGAGGGAGGTGGTGGGGGCCTTTAAGGGACAGGGATGCCCGTGGAAAAGAATGTCCCTTAAAGAAATACTGACGGCTATAAGCGAGGCTTTGGTAATTGCGTAGATGTTGATTGATTTGCTTATATGTTTCTTTAAATATTTTACATGTGGGTATTTTGAATATATGACAATAATTATTCTAATAAAACCAAAAGTAAATGACATTTAAAAATACTTACAACAGCCCTGGCCGGTGTGGCTCGGTTGGGTGGTGTCTATGCACCAAAAAGTTGCCGTTCGATTCCCGGTTGGGGCACCTGCCGGGCTTGGGGCTGGGTCCCTGGCAGGGGGCGTGCAGGAGGCAGCCTGTCCGTGTTTCAGTCTCACATGATGTTTCCCTCCCTCTCCCTCTCCCTTCCTTTCTCTTTAAAAACCAATTAAAAAGAAATACTTAGAACAGTTGGTGTTAAGAGAAAACGAAAGGGCTTGGATTTTTTAGGCAGTATTTGAATTGATGACGGTCTCTTTCAACAGCATTTCATTTAAAATCCAATGAGAGGGTATTTCAAACCCCGCAGCTCCTCGCTGGGACGGGCGTTGAGTGTGGGTCTGACCAGCTCGCTCTCTGTTCGGCTGGGAAGCGCTTTGTCCACTTTTCCTGTGGAGCTGCTTTCCCGCCAGTTCGCTTCACGAGGAAAAGCAGGCGTCTCGCTCTGGTTCTCATGGACCCTCGGGGCGGAGGAGCCAGCAGGACGAGGACACAGCTTCTGTTTGTTCTGATTGGTTCCTGATTCTGCCAGAGGCTTCCTGGCAAAAGTCTGAAAACCAAACCCTAGGGGATAGTTAGACGCTAAGAACAAGCTATTGTCACGAGAAAGCACAGATGCGCCCGGATAACAGAGCCACCGCCCCCCTCAGGCGTCCGCCCCTGGGGTGGCATGCTGGAGTCCAATGGCAGGAGTAACCTCCACTTGCCTCAGGAAACCGTTACGCTCATGACAGTGCCCTCCGCGGGCCTGGGGTGTCTTGCACACGCATTGGGCCTTCACTCTGTGCAGTTGCTATTCGCTGACCTGCTCGTGGACATGACCCTGACACACTTCTTCTCAGGGAGCCTGGGAGATGGACTAAGTGATCTGAGGCAGCCAGGCCATGTTTGGAACAAATGAACCACCTTGGGCAAGGGAGCATTTTGTCAAAAACAAAATCTATACATATAAAAGGCTAATGTGCAAAGTGTCCCCTGGGGAGTTCGGCTGGGAGACCGGGAATTCGATGGCTCACTATGGCGTGCGCTGACCACCATGGGGCAGTGTGGAATGAAGGGAGGCCCCGGCCAGCAGCTGGTAGGCCCCGGCCATCAGCCGGAAGGCCCCGATCGGCACTGATTGCCGGCCAGGCCTAGGGACCCTAGCCGTGCAGAATCTCGTGCACCAGGCCTCTAGTGTGAATATAAAACTGTCGCATCGATTTGCTGTTCAGGCCTGTGAATTGGCTCCCTGAGGGAGTTCTCGAATGCTTTCATCCTTGGTGGGAATCAGCATGACCAATGAGAAGCGCACCAAGGCGTGCTTTCAAATTGTTCAAAAAGTGTAGAAGGGCAAGCAGTGATCGGACAGTAATACTGAGAAATTAAATCGCATGCACATCTATCTCACTCTCCAGTGCAAGTTCATACATTTTCTTTCTCTTCTTTGGGTGCCACAGTTGTGCTTGTTTTAACTAAGAAATGTTAATTTTGGAGCCAGTGGGAATTTTTAATGTTGGTATAAACTGTATTAAATATTCATTCATAAATGTTACTAAAGCTCATGTCCTTATAAATTCCTCTGTAAAAGGCTTGGCTAGACGCGTGTAATTTCTTAGATTGTAAAGATGTCTATTTTTTTGAATTTGAGAAGGAAATGTTTTTAAATAACATTCTCCCCCTGAATTTTGTTCAGACAGAATATTGGTGAGAGCATTCTTTACCTGTGGGTGGAGAGAATAAGAGACGTCCTGATACAGAAGGCCCAGAGGGCAGAGCCAGGTAGGACGGAGAGACACTATCAGTGCGTGCTCCTTACCGCAGTTGCATCGCCACATGGATGTTCTCTTTGAGGCTTTTAATTACAGTCTGTATTCTGTTCTATGGTTTACATATAGTATGTGTTTTCTGGAAAGTTCATTTACTCATGTAATTATGGTTCTTTGGTTTAATATAGTCTTATAGAAATATAATTTTATGGTTAAATAAAATTTATGGATCAAAAAAAAAATCTCTTCTTTGATTATTGTTAAGGTAATATGTACCATGTAACATTCTTCATGAGTTATTAGACTATAAGCTAGACATTATGTTTATAGAAATGCTTATGGGAAAAAAACTGAAAAATATACTGACGGATAGTAAGGATATAAAAATTGACTTTGAAAATTGATTTTAAAAATTCAGTTGTAATTCACTTACCATATTATTCACCCTTTAAAACTGTGTAATTGGGTGGTTTTAGTATATTTCATGGTTGTGCGGCTCTGACCGCTCTCTGATTTCAGGACATTGGAACGCTCACATTCTGCTCTGTTGCCGCTATCCTCTTATTGGGCCATTCAGTCTGTGACAACATGGGCATTCCTCACCTTTCCTACTCGCTCTGCTAATCTTTGCTTCACTTTCCACAAAGACCTCGAGAGGACAGTAACGATTTAACCCGACTCTTATTTCCAAATAGAGTTTTATTGTTATCACTGATAGAATCGTTTTCAGTTTGGAAAAATAGGGATAAAAAACCCACGTTAGTTTATGACAGATGTTTTAGAAGGTCAGTATGGAGAACGAGTTACTCGGGCCTCCCTTGGCAAGGTCAGTACATACTGAAAGTCAGCAGTGTGCCTCTTTCCAGGGCATTTACTGTTTTCCTGCAGAAGCAAATGCCTTTACCGCTTCCTTTCAGCAGAGAAGTGAGTAGCGTGAGGCCATTGTGTCCGCTGAGGATCTTCTCTGACGTACTTCCCTTAATGCTTTCTGCTCCGTAAACGAATGCACAGCATTTCAGGGCATCGAAGGGAAAAGTCATCTAAAAACAAAGTGGACTGTGCCAGCCCCCATCCTAGAGGTGGGGGGGAGGGGAGTGCAGGAAAGGGGTGCCGCCCGTTAAAATGTGGGGCTCTAGAATTTTGGGATCACTCAACTCAGGAAACTTAAGAAATTATTGATCTTAAGGTGTTTCCCCTTTTCCACCTTATTCATAACGTAGTCGGCCACGCTTCAGATGTTAAAGCTGTTGCTGTGTTCTGTATTCTCGTGGTTTTCAGGCATTTTGTTTGGGACGTTTGACCAGGAGCTGTTTGTAGATCACGCTGGGGGCGGGTCCTGAGGGCTGGGCCAGGCGGGGGTCAGGGGGCTTTCCTGCCCGGCTGCCCCGTGACAAGGGGTGTGTTTTGATTTCAATGTTAATCTTCAGGAGAAACTTACTGTTTATTATTTCATATTGTTTTTTCTACTTTAGAAGCATTAAATTTTGAAATAATTGTATACAACTGTTAACAATTTTTTAAAATTTTGAGCTCATTTTAGACGCACAGGAAAATTGCAGAAACGATGCAAAGAGCATACCCCTCTCACCCTGCTCCCCCCACAACCTCAGACGCGACCTCATGCCGTTGTCCAGACCCGGAAGCTAACGGCCGAGGGTCCGCTAAGGAGCTGGCTCAGGTTTCACGGTTCTGACGCGATTGTCCTTCTGGCTCTTAGGGCCCCGACAGGACCCTGGTGCCTGTTTCCTCCTCTCTCCTGGCCTCTCAACGCTGCCTCCGTCTTCCTTTGACTTTTGTGACTTTTGATGACTTGACACTTTTGAAGAGAAGCGATTGCCTGTTTTCTAGAATGTTCCTCAACTTGGGTTTGTTTGTTACTTTCCCGATTGGAGTGGGATCGGGCACTCGGGCAGTCGTGCCACAGGAGTGACCCGGCGTCCTTCACAGCACGTCGTATCGAGGGGCTCATGGCATCGGCGTGCTTATTGTTGGTGATCTTGACCTTGACCCCTTGCCAGAGGTCAGCACTGCAGAGTCCCTGCTTTAGTCAAGGTTCTCTGGAGACAGAACCGATAGGAGGGGTGTGTGTGTGTGTGTGTGTGTGCGTCTGCGTGTACGTGTGTGTGTGCACACGTGTGTGAATGTGAGTGTGTGCGTGCGTGTGTGCGTGTGAGTGAGCGTGCGTGTGTGCGCACACGTGTGTGAGTGTGAGTGCGTGTGAGTGTGTGTGTGAGTGTGTGTGCGTGTGTGTGTGTGCGTGTGCGTGTGTGTGTGTGTGTGTGCGTGTGTGTGTTTAAAAACAAGAGCGAGAGAAGGAGAAAGAGGTGCAGAGAGAGGGAGGGGGGGGGAGAGGTTTATTTTAAGGACCTGGCTCACCATTCTGGAGCCTGGCAAGTCCCAGACCCGCAGGGCAGGCTGGGCCCAGGCAGGACTTGGCGCGGCAGCTCGTCTGCAGGGGCCGCCCGGAGCTCCCTGTGCCGGCTGGTCCCCCCCCCCCCCCCCCCCCCCCCCCCGGCGAGGACCTGAGCTGGAGGAGGCGGCTCACTGTCGGGCACGTCTGCTTCCTGAGCGTCTGCTCGGAGTGAGGATTCCTCCCGGACAGGCCTCCACAGGAGCAGCTAGAACAGAGCTTGACCAGGTTCCGGGGCCTGTGGCCGAGCCAGCGGGCGTGAAACTTACCATCGAGCCCATGGGAGGGACGCTGTGGAGATGGGGTGTCCGTCCCCCTCCAACGCCCCTCGTGGTGTGAGCGCTCACGGGGTGTCTGTCAGCAGCACTGATGGCAGCTGGCAAGCGTTTTCCTGCTGCGGGTGGACCCCGTCCTCCTGCCTTCGTCCCTCGGGACCCTCTGAGGAGGGCGGTCTCCTCCGTGTGTTCCTCTGATTTCTGTCACTGCAGCCGCGTGTCCCTGTGGCCGCGTGTCCCTGCAGCCGCGTGTCCCTGCGGCCCGCGTGTCCCTGCAGCCGCGTGTCCCTGCAGTCGCGTGTCCCTGCGGCCCGCGTGTCCCTGCGGTCCACGTGTCCCTGCGGCCGTGTGTCCCCGCGACCCGCGTATCCCTGCAGCCGTGTGTCCCCGCGACCCGCGTGTCCCTGCAGCCGTGTGTCCCCGCGACCCGCGTATCCCTGCAGCCGTGTGTCCCCGCGACCCGCGTGTCCCTGCAGCCATGTGTCCCCGCGACCTGCGTATCCCTGCAGCCGTGTGTCCCTGCAGCTGTGTGTCCCTGCGGCCCACGTGTCCCTGCGGCCGTGTGTCCCCGCGACCCGCGTATCCCTGCAGCCGTGTGTCCCCGCGACCCGCGTGTCCCTGCAGCCCGCGTGTCCCTGCAGCCGCGTGTCCCTGCAGCCCGCGTGTCCCTGCAGCTGTGTGTCCCCGCGGTCCACGTGTCCCTGCGGCCGTGTGTCCCCGCGACCCGCGTGTCCCTGCAGCCCGCGTGTCCCTGCAGCCGTGTGTCCCTGCGGCCCGCGTGTCCCTGCAGCCGTGTGTCCCTGCGGCCGCGTGTCCCTGCAGCCGGGGCTAAGCTCTCACGCTGCCATTGCTGTTGCTGACGGTCCCGGGGGCGGGTCCCGTGCGCCTTGGAGAAGCTCGCGTGTCTCTGAGCAGCTTAAACCTCTGGAATCACAGACGACCCCACGGCCCCTGGTGTCCTAGGCCCGGCCCTGGGATCAGCGACTGGCTGAGGCCTGATTCCTTCCCCTGAAGGACGTGCTCAGAGCCCACGAGGCAGTTTTTAAGTGTCATTTCTGACTTCCTTGTAGAGCACTCGCGTGTCTCCTGTCCCACGGGCATCACTCGCGTGTCTCCTGTCCCGCAGGCCCAGAGGTGAAGAAGAAGACGGAGGAGGAAGATGTGGAGAGTGAAGACGATGTCCTTGTGGCGTTCCAGCCCGAGACTCCGGGGCGAGCGCTGGGCTTCGACGTCGGTGAGAGTCAGACAGGTACGAGGCGCTGACGAGCTGTGTCTCCAGCCCAGTGACGGCGGACCTCTGAGCTCGGCGTGCCAGCATTTTGAAAAACCCTAACTTAACTCTGGTGCCATGTCACATACAGAAATTTTTTGATATTTGCAAACATAATGAAACAAAGACTTATAATTTTGATATTTATTTTATATATTTAAATGCCATTCAACAAAGAAAAATCAACCAAAAAAATGAGTTCACGTGTCACCTCTGACACGCGTGTCATAGGCTCGCCATCACTGCTCTAGACGGTGGACGGTGATACTGGGAGTGGTTTGGGGGACGGGCAGACGTGTAGTGAGCCCTCACGTGTTGGGGAGTAGTTATCAATAAGCAGGGAAATGCGGTCGTGTCTTTCCTGCCTGCTGGTCGTCTGGTGTTGGCTGGGCCTGTCAGGTAGGGAGGAAGAAAGTAGAAAATTCTTTTCTCTTCTCTAGAGTTTGTATCGTGATGGGAGATGGGAACTAAGGAAAGCTGTGTTTTTAATTCACGTTTCAATTCACACACGTTTTTCTGCTTTGAAGTTCTCAGCGGCCTCCTGCCATCTCAGCGTTACATTTTGGTAAAACTCACAGAGTAAATGTCCTCATTGGAAGCGCAGCCACTGAATGAAGCCTAAATGCCTTTAAGGTTATAGCTTCTGCGTAACCAAATTTCTCCATAATCTAGTATGAAAGGAGAATCAGCTGTATGTTAACATCAGAAAGCATGTTCCCTTTCAGTACTTTAAGATATATTTGTACTGATTTCAGAGGGGAAGGGAGAGGGAGAAAGAGAGAGAAACATCAATGATGAGAGAGAACCACGGATTGGTTGCCTCCTGCACACCCCACACTGGGGATGGAGCCTGCAACCTGGCATGTGCCCCGACCGGGAATCGAACCGTGACCTCCTGGTTCATAGGTCGACCCTCACCCACTGAGCCACACAGGCCGGGCCCTTTTAGTATTTTACATTTTTGAGCGAATGGTCCATTTCCTCAATCCCTTATAGAAGCTCGATTGGCCAAAGGGAGCACCATTCTCCGAAGGCCAGGTGTCCTGTGCCCTCACACCGCGGCCTCGAACCCGTACCGGGAGCGTCTCAGGTTCTCCCGATGCCTTGGGACCGGTAGGGACGGAGAGGAAGGGAGAGGGGAGGGCCCAGGACTCCCCCGGCTCCAACCTGCGTGGCTCCTGCTTCGTTCAGTCACGTCTTCGTGGCATCAGGTTTCCTTTGGGAAACAGGACCCCCCATGAGAAGAGTGACAGTCGCAGGCACAGCGCACGGCAGCCGGTGCACAGGGACCCGGTGCTGCGCTAGGACAGGCCGCCCTCCACCGGACGGGACGTCGGCGGCAGAGCAGCCGGGGAAGCTGGTCTGTGCTCGTCCGGCCACGACCAGCGCGGTGGATTTCGGGGCTGTTTACAGCCGCCCAGAAACACGTTCACAGGTGTTAGCTGAAGCAGTTCACCGACTGCCAGGCAAACTGACTTGGTGAGATTCAACCAAGTGGCTAGAAGCGGGGACACATTTCAATTCTTCTTTCCCGAATAACTTTCCGTCCTAAATGCAGCCGGCACAGCAGCCGGGGCGGCTGGTAAGTCTCTCTCTCTTATTGAATGTATTGGGGTGACATTGGTTAATAACATTGTGTGGGTTTTAGGGGTACAGTTCTGTGACTGAGCGTCATCTCTATGTTGTATGGTGTGTTCTCCACCCCCAGTCAAGTCTCCTCCCATCACCATTGTCCCCCTTCGCCCTCTCCTGCCCCCTTCCCCCCGGTTCTCATCAGACGGGGGGCAGGTTAGTGGCTCTTAAACTTGTTTAAGAGTCAGAGTAGCTGGAAATGATGACACCCCCTGGAACACCAGTTTGGCATGTTATTGATATACTAGAGGCCCTCCCGCAGGGTCCCTTCACCTGGCCGGCGATCGTGGCCATCAGGGCTCTCACCCAGTCCTGATTGGGGCCGATTGGGGTCGGTGGCCGGGGAGGGACCGCGGGAGGGACTGCAGGTCGGCTCCAGGGTGTGTCCAGCCCCATCTCGCTCAGTCCCGATCAGCCAGACCCCAGCAGCAAGCTAACCTACCGGTCAGAGTATCTGTCCCCTGGTGGTCAGTGCACGTTACAGCGACCAGTTGGTCAACTACTCGGTCAGACACTTAGCATATTAGGCTTTTATAGCTATAGATTTAATTGAACGCTATGAAGTAGGAACAGTTTTATTAGCAGAAGACATTCCGTTATAGCTGTAAAACAGTGTCATAGGTTTCCCAGCCAGTGTCATTGTCCACCAACAATAGAATGGATGAATGCGTTACGGTGTATTAGCAGCTGTCAGTGTTTTTGGTCTCAAGACCCTTTTAAACTCTTAAAAAGTAGTGGTGTCAACTTGTGCTGCTGCCACAGTCTGGCGTTGGAGCCCCGGCCCCCACTCTCACTGGTGACCTCTGGGTTCGATTCCCGCAGGTGAAGGTCACCAGACAGGTGGGTTTATATGCAATATATTGGGAGCCTTTTTACTTAACGTTGTAACTGAATTTAATGGGCAGCTGTGAATTGCTGTTGGGGTTGATTTGCCATACAACGTACATTTCTTTCCCAACTCTCCCCTCCACCCACACCATTGCCACTGTTTTAGGTTTTGAATGTATGAATTTAAAAATAAAAGTAACCTCCTTCCTTAACTTACAGAAATGGAAGAGCTGCCGCCGATCGACCACGGCGTCCCCATCACCGACCGACGGAGCACCTTCCAGGCGCACCTGGCTCCCGTCGTCTGCCCCAAGCAGGTGGGCTGCTCGCGCCCTGGGGGAGGCGGGGGGGACGCTGTTTCACCAGCGCAATCCCAGCGAATGGGTTTGCAGCCACACCCTTGCTTTTACTGTTGTTGTTTTCACGTAAGAGAAGCGATTCGCTCACCGTCCCGCCCCCCGTGCTGAGAATCTGGGGGAGGCGTTCGGTGTCCTCTGTCACTCTTTTAAATTGTATCTAAACGCTGCCTGGGGCTGACCCTTGTAATGGGTTTTCAAACAAACACCCATGTGGTGCTGCAGAAATTACTACGTTTCATAGTGGAAAAGAATTACGTGAGCCCTGCCCAGGGCTCCCCTGGTTGGAGCCTCATCCTGTGCACCAGGGGTTGTGGGTTTGATTCCGGTCCAGGCCCCTGTGGGACAGCCCTCCAGCCTGCGGAGCCTCGCCAGCCAGGCCCGAACCTTCCTCTTCGATGCCTCTGCTGGGGCTGCGGGTGAAACACGTTGGGATTCAGATCAACATTACTACACGGGACCCACTCACACTGAGGCTTTGTGTGATTGACCTGAAGTTGCGATTGAACTGAGCGTCTTTATTTTCATTTGCCAACCTGGCCCCTCCGCACACACCGTGTCCTGCGAGCGGGCGGCTCCTTCCTGCCCCTCTTCCCTTTGGACACAGAAATGACCACGTCTCTCAAGTCTCGCTCACGTCACTCCCCGTGGCCGTGCAGGAGCCCCAGAGAGCGTCCTGGTTTCTAGACTGTGGGACACACCATTACGGTGCATCTGTCATCCCAGATGCGTAAATTCGGTAAACTTTTAGAGCTCGTTTTTTGAAATTCTCGTATTTACATGTAGAATTCTCTACACGGGGAAACATGTCCCTGTTTAAGTATGAGGCATGGTGAGTGCTCAAGTATTTTTCTGAGAATTGGTGTTTAGAAACTGGGTCTGTCATGTTTATTCCGTCGTGAGCACCGGTCTCTGCCCTGAATGAGGAGGAAACTTGGAAGTGGCCTTCTCGGCTGTAGAAGATTCTTTTTTTAAAAAATATATATATTTTATTGGTTTTTTACAGAGAGAAAGGGAGAGGGATAGTTAGAAACATCGATGAGAGAGAAACATCTACCAGCTGCCTCCTGCACACCCCCTACTGGGGATGTGCCCGCAACCAAGGTACATGCCATTGACCGGAATCAAACCTGGGACCCTTCAGTTCGCAGGCCGACGCTCTATCCACTGAGCCAAACTGGCTAGGGCTGTAGAAGATTCTTTACGTAACTTCTATGCCACCCGCAGGGCTTACATCAGCTTTAAGATGTTTCCTAGTGTTTGTTTATAGAGAGAGTGAAATGTGCACATTTGTTTATTCATGTCACTGCTGTTTTTAAGGTGAAAATGGTTCTTGCCAAATTATATGAGAACAAGAAAATCGCTAGCGCCACCCACAACATCTACGCATACCGGTGAGTGAGCACGCCTCCAGGAGCATGTGGTTCGTAAAGACGGGAGAAACGTGCATGACTGTAAACAATAATAACTATCATATATTCTTCCCATTACAAAAGCAATCATTTGTAGAATATTCAGAAACTGCAGAAAAGAAAAAAAATCAGAGGGGAAATCAGTTATTTTCTACCATTAAATGCAACCAATAGTACGTGATACATTTTCTGTCCTTTCTGTGCAAAGTTTATCTTTTTAATGCTTTGCCCTAGTACCACATTTTTTTCTTAATGTACAAAAACAAATTTCCATGTTGTTTACATTGCTTTGTGAACATTATTTTAATGTTTGACTAATAGTTGTCTGAGGTTGCAAACTACATTTTATTTAACTGTTTCCTGTTGGTTTTAGTTTTTCCTGTTTCTTTCTTTTTTTAAAAAATATATATTTTATTGGCTTTTTACAGAGAGGAAGGGAGAGGGATAGAGTTAGAAACATCGATAAGAGAGAAACATCGATCAGCTGCCTCCTGCACACCCCCCACTGGGGATATGCCCGCAACCAAGGTACATGCCCTTGACCAGAATCGAACCTGGGACCCTTCAGTCCGTAGGCCGATGCTCTATCCACTGAGCCAAACCGGTTAGGGCAGTTTTTCCTGTTTTATTATCTATTCTATATAATAAAAGAGAAACATCCAAATTAACCATCCCTCTGCTATGCCCATAAGCCATGACCACCAGCCAATCAGGAGTGAGTATGCAAATTAACCCAACTAAGATGGCAGCAGCCAGGGAGCTGGAGCGAGCAGGAGGCTTGGGTTGCCCCCGGCGATGGAGGAAGCCAAGCTTCCCACCTGCCCTGGCTGGCCCTGGGCTCCGCTCAAGACTACAAAGTTTCAATTATAGAAGATAAATAAATCCCAGAAAAAAGAAAAAAAGGAGAGGCTGGGAGCTTGGGTCGCTGGGGGGCGTGGCCATCCCGAAAACGGCCATCAGCCCCTCACCCAGGCTGGCCAGGCACCCCAGCAGGACTCCCCCACCCTGAAGGGGCTGTGGGCAGCCTGAAAATGGCCCTCAGCCCCTCACCCAGGCTGACCACACCCCCATGGGGTGAGGGTCCCTGCTAGGGGACTTGGCCAGCTTGCCAACAGCCATCAGCCCCTCACCCAGGCTGACCAGGCACCCTAGCAGGACCCCCCACCCTGAAGGGGCTGTGGCCAGCCTGAAAATGGCCCTCAGCCCCTCACCCAGGCTTGCCAGGCACCCCAATGGAACCCCCACCCTGATCCAGGACACCCTTCAGGGCAAACCAGCTGGCCCTCACCTGTGCACCAGGCCTCTATCCTAAATAATAAAAGGGTAATATGCAAACTGACCCTAACAGCAGAACGATTGGGAATGACTGGTCATTATGACACACACTGACCACCAGGGGGCAGACGCTCAATGCAGGAGCTGCCCCCTAGTGGTCAGTGTCCTCCCACAGCTAACCTTCTGCCGTCAGCTAACCTCCCGCGGTCCCTCCCCCCAACTGGCCAGCCCTGATCAGCCCCGATCGCCAGCCAAGCCAAGGGACCCCACCCGTGCACGAATCCGTGCACTTGGCCTCTAGTTATAGAGAAGAGCCGTGAACGTACCAGATGGTGAATGATAGTGAACACACACCTAGTGTAGTTCAAGAAGGGTTTTCAGAAACAGATATGCTGGTTTTGGAAGTAAATTGCAACTCATACGAAGTGTTTTGAGGTTTTGAGGTGTGAGCGCTGTTGTGTGTGTTTCTAGAATATTCTGTGAGGACAAGCAGACCTTCCTGCAGGACTACGATGACGACGGGGAGACGGCGGCCGGCGGGCGCCTGCTGCACCTCATGGAGGTGGGTCCGTAGTTCCTGACCCCGTCCGGGGCCTGAGCTCCCCAGCAGCACAGGGCTCCCTCCCGTGAGGGACCAGCTCTCGGGCGCTCTGAGCGGGCGTGCGGGCTCATTAGGAGTTCATTTCTGAACGGTGACGAGAAGATGCCACCCCTGGGGGCGGGCAGAAGGCACAGGGCTAGTCCAGGCCTCGCGCTCCCAGCCCTTTCCTCGCGGCCACGGGAGATTGTCTGCAGGTGGGGGACCTTCTAGTTTTGTTTTCTGACACTTTCCTCCCTTTATTTTCATGTTCTGTCTGTGAAATTCCTGGAAGTTGGTTATCGGAGCTTCTGAATGGATCCAGGATCTTTCTTTCCTTATGAAGTTGTCCATCTCGTTGCCTGGTGTTCCGAGACATGTTCTTGATGGTCTCCTAACATTTGTTTTAGCAACCATGCATTTAATCACATAATTATAACAGTTCCCCTCTGCTTTTCCTGTTTCCTGTTTTTCCTTTTTGGGGTGTGCTGTCTGGTTCCGTGGATGCAGTATCTCCTACCATTTCCTGCGTCTGCAGATTCATGTTTGGTTTTCGGAGACGTCCTCACAGGTGGTTGCTGGTCCGTTCGGCTGCTTATCTTGCGCTTTCCCGTTGGTGCGGCTGGACCCCCCGTCCGTCTGTGATCGCCGACGGCCCGTTCTGAGGGGCTGTTCTCTCCCCAGGTGGTTGCGGCAGTGTCTTCCGCTCTTGTGTGAGGTTTGCTCACGCCCTGGAGGGGACTCTGCGTGGTCAGGCCTGCAGGCCAGTGGGCCTCGCCTTAGGGCGCGTTGGGCACACGTCAGGCCGAGGAAGACGTGTGGGCAGCGCCAGCGAGGCCTCCGCAGCCCGTGCCCTCTGGCCTCTGTTTAGAAGCAGGTCCGTGTGGCCCTGGGTGAAGGCCCCAGACAGCTGTTCTGGTTGAAGTCGCCGAGAACTGGGACTCCCCTGCCGGTCTCCCCTGCACGCCCGGGGCCAGCGTTTGCAAGTTGAAGGCCGTGGAGCAGGCGTTCCTTTTCCAAACCCCCTCCTGTCTGTCCCTTCCTGTCCCCTGGGCCGGCCGTCTCACTCGCCCCCTCAGTGCGTCCGCCGTGGGCGTCGGGGGCGCTTCTGCGCAGGGTCAGGGCCGCGGGGCTCACGCCGCACCCTCTCTTGTCCGGTCTGCCGAGACGCAGGTCCTGAACGTGCGGAACGTGCTGGTGGTGGTGTCGCGCTGGTACGGCGGCGTCCTGCTGGGGCCCGACCGCTTCAAGCACATCAACAACTGCGCCCGGAGCATCCTCGTGGAGAGGAGCTACGCGGGCTCGCCGGTGAGCGCCCCCCCCCCCCCCCGCCGCTGCCGGGGCCGCCACCGCCAGAGGACGTGCCCGGGCGGGACAGGCCCCAGGCAGAACCCGGTGGGGCCAGTGCAGACCGTGGGCGGCGACTTCCCTCCTGGACCCGCAGGTCAGACGCTCCTGGAGTTTACGGGGCCTCAGTCCGGTGGCTTCCACCCCCGAGGCTGGGCTGAGCCGTGTGTGACCTGGGTCCTCAGACGGCCACGGAACCCACATTCCTGTCACGGCTGCAGCTGCTCTCCCGGGCAGGCCTTGCGGGCCTCCTCCCTTGACGTTTGGAGGGTTTTTGTTTCATATTTTGTAACTACGTTCATTTCTATTGTTTTTAATCTCAGCTGCTTTACTTTAAAAAGCGGACACTGGAGCCCGGCCGCTGGCTCCGTGGTTGAGCGTCGACCCAGCACCAGGAGGTTCTGGTTCGATTCCCGGGTCGGGGCACAGGCCCGGGTTCCGGCTCCACCCCCAGCAGGGGGCGTGCAGGAGGCGGCCGATCGATGTTTCTATCCCCCTCTCTTCCTCTCTCTCTAAAATCAATAACATTTTTTTAAAGAAGTGGACAATAGAATAATATTAAGATTATTTAAACATAAATCTCTTAGGTAAATGAGTGTTTTCCTTGATTATTCTTGATTATTTTGTAAATGTATACGTAGAGGGTAAACAGAAGTGCCGTGTAAAACAGAAGATGGTTCATATGGAAGTAGCTATACTTCCACTGTTGTACAGACTCTAGGGATTAGGTTTAAGGCTCCTAAGCCAGTAGCTTCGTGTACGTGGGGGGAGACTACATTGATTTTATCTCTTTTCCAGGAGGAATCATCGAAGGCTTTGGGAAAGAACAAAAAAGTGAGAAAGGACAAGAAGAGGAGTGAACATTAACAGCCGATACGACTTAGCGGTCAGCTTACCTGTAATCAGACGCAGGCTCCTCACCCATCAGACGTCTGTGCAGGGAGGGGCCCTGCAGCCCCGCAGCCATTCATCACGACACCAGCGTCATCTCCTCCCCTCGGTCATGTCATCCGCCAGCACCAGACCCTGTGAGCACCGTGCACGTGGCTTCGGCTGCGGACGACGCGCTGGAGCTTCACCACCACTTCGCCCGCGAGGGAGGCAGCAGCTGCCGGGGCGGCGCCTGGACGGTCGCCTGGACGGGCGCCTGGACGGTCGCCTCGGCCGCGTCAAGTGCCTTTGTCGGTGGGAGCGCGGTCTCGGGAGGAGCGGCCGCGCCTGCTTCTCGTCGGGACGCGTTTTGCTGAGGGACACGCCTCGCGCTGCTCTTCCGCTCGGAGAGGACTCGCTGAGGACGGACCTGGGAGCCCCCTCCTGTGGTTTCCGTCCTCAGCGTGTCGCCCCTGCGGGTGGACGAGGCGGGCGCGGGCCTGTCCCCGGCCGCCAGGTGCTGGCGCGACTGTCACACCTGTGCTGGCAGGAGTGTGTGCCTCCGTCCCTGTTGGTGACTGAATTTCAGAAAGCGGTTTTCTCGCCTCTGCCTTTTGGTTTCGTCCTCATGATGGGAAGCGGTGCACATGGTGCCAGGAGCTCCTCCCGCCCCGAGATGTGTCCGTTCTGCTTCTTCAGCCGGAAGTCCCTTTCCTGTGACCCCCACTGGGGAACGAGGGCTGTGCTGGGCGCGAGGCTGGGGCTGACGAGGAGAGAGGACGGGAGAGGGAGAGGGAGCAACATCAGTGATGAGACAGAACCATGGATCGGCCGCCTCCTGCACGCCCCCCACTGGGGATGGAGTGTGCAACCCAGGCACATGCCCTTGACTGGAATCGAACCTGGGACCCTTCAGTCTGCAGGCCGACGCTCTCTCCACTGAGCCACACCAGCCAGGGCCCTTACTTGGTGTTTTTAATAAGAATAGCTTTCTGCTAGGATGGATTCTGAGAAATGAGATCTGAATTATATTTGTTGTACGTGTTTAATGTTGCCAGTTATCAATTGTCATCAGAGGGCGACATATATGTATTTAGGTAGAACACATCAAGTTCCATGAAAAATTCAGTATGTCCTATATTAACTTAAAAAAATTGAAGTTAAAAACTACCAGTTAGCATGAAGGTAATTTCACAATTTTGGCACATCAGGCCTGTGGTAGGGGCCATAAATCGGCATCGGAATTTGGTGCTGCAGAGAAGTAACTGCGAGTCCATTGCTCTGTGCCACCAGATTGAATTTCTTTCTTGCTGATTTAGCTAATATTTCCTTAGGTCTTTTAGAAAACCTTTATTTCTGGGATCTCATTTTTCTTTAAAAGCAATCTTATTTTTGCTTCTTTCTACAGAATTATGAACCACATTTTCCTGACTAAGGCACCTCATTTCCTTGCCCCAGGCAGCTAGTTAATGAGAATCTCAGAGTCTCCGATTCTGGTCCTGAGTTATTTCACTGACTATGTGTATGGACCCCTCTCCAGTAATCGTATCTGTTTTTCTCTATTTAAAAGTTTATCTTGAGTCCAGGCCGGTGTAGTTCAGTGGGTAGAGCGGCGGCCTGCGGACCGAAGGGCCCCGGGTTCGATTCCATCAAGGGCACATGCCCGGGTTGCAGGCTCGGTCCAACGTGCAGGAGGCAGCCGATCAATGATTTCCTCTCTTCATTGATGTTTCTCTCCCTCTTCCTCCTCTGCCTCTCTGAAATAAATAAGAATATATTTTAAAAAATTTATCTCGAGTCTAGGCCAGTTTGGGTCAGTGGTCCTCGCACCGAAGGGTCAAGGGTTCGATTCCCAGTCAAGGGCACGTACCCGAGTTGTAGGTTCAGTCCCCACCCAGTATTGGGGCTCGTGCAGGAAACAACTGATCGATCGATGTATCTCTCACATCCATGTTTCTCTCTCTCTCCCTCCTCCCCTCCCTTCCATTCTCTCTGAAAACCAATGGGAAAAATATCCTCGGGTGAGGATTAACAAAAAACATTTATCGCAATTAGGTTTTCAAATTCTCCAAGTCATTTTCTCTAGCCAGTCTGTGCGGCGGCGTATTTCATGGCACGTTGTACTAGTTGCACGTATTCCCCTCGGGCCAGAGAGTAGGAGCAGGTGGCACCTGCATTTTAAATGGGAACCAACGACTGTGGTTTGGAGGCGTGGACCACGAAACAGCCGGCGTGCAGAGAAGTGATCAAAGTGCTCACAGCGGGAAGAAGGGCAGGAGGCAGGGCTGAGTGTGGTGGGGGGGGTGCTCACAGCGGGAGAAGGGCAGGAGGCAGGGCTGAGTGTGGTGGGGGGGTGCTCACAGCGGGAAGAAGGGCAGGAGGCAGGGCTGAGTGTGGTGGGGGGGTGCTCACAGCGGGAAGAAGGGCAGGAGGCAGGGCTGAGTGTGGGGGGCGGGGGGGCACTCCTGGTGCAGCTGTGTAGTCCCGTCCACTCCACGGTCTGGAGACAGCATTCGTCGCATTTGGTACGCGCATCTTCTATTTTTCCCTCTGCGTGATTTTGTACATATGCTATTTTTCTTTCCATAAAAATGGTATTAAACTGTACATACTGTTTTGTATCTGGATATTTCATATAGAAGTATATTGTTAACATTTTCCCATTTCAATAAATACTATTCTACGGCTTAGTTTCTCATGGCTGCGTCCTGCTCTGCCTTCTGGGTTGTATCGTCAGTACTGGCTGGTCACTGCTGGCTTCTGATTGCTGCGTTCCCGCTGCACAGCCCTGAGCAGAGCCCTGGCGTGCAGGCGCCTGTGTGACCGGCTCCGGCGGTGGCTCTGGTGCTGGGACTGAGGTCCGCCTTGAGGTTCATGGTGAAGGGAGACCTGTATGGACAGGACCCCACCACCTTCCCCTGGTTCTGCCCCCAAAGTGTAATGTCCGTCTGACCTTTCAGTTTCTCTGAGCAGAGCCCTGCCCGATGCCCGGCTCGCTCCTCATCCCCGCCCAGGGCCCCCCGTCCCCGCCCAGGCCTCCCCCTCCCCGCCCAGGGCCCCCCTGGCGCCTTCCCTCTGTCGTTGGCGCAGACCGGGGCTTGATTTGGGAAGCAAGCGGGAGCCAGGGAGGACGGCACTTACTGGGCCTGTACCAGTCGGTCCGAGCTGCTTGGTGAGCTGCCGTGAGTCTCTAGGCACCGTCAGGCCATCTGGTCACTCAGATACGTCACTAGGTTGTGCACGACGCCTCTTCTCACGGAGAGGCGCCCTTTTCTGCCCATATCCCCCCCCTCCCCCCCCCGTCTAGGTGTGGTCTCCGTTCCTTTGCACCCTCAGGTGCTGTGCAGCGGGAACCCCGGGAGTGCACAGCTCAGTGCAGCGTCCTGGCACCTCCGCTGTGATCGACACGGTCAGACTCCAGTGTGGTGAGTCCCAGCGTCCCTTTGTCTTCCGTGCACGCGTCCGCGTTGCACATTCGGGGTCCCCGGGCCAAATCCCTTAGGTCTGGTTTCTGGTTGATTGACAAGCCTTAGAGGAGCCCGCTGGTCCCTCTGGCACCTGGCCCTGAGCTCCCCTCTCCGTGGGCGCATTCTCTGCCGGGCGTTTGTGAAGTCCGTCTCTGGTGCTACAGCCTGGGGAGGCGTCGCAGGAACTGCAAGGCACATCGTCAGAAGTGGTACACGGAGCCCACAGCTTGTTTCATTTTATTTACTTATTTTTTATTAAATGTATTGGGGTGACATCGGTTAATGCGATCGTATAGGTTTCAGGTGTGGGTTTCTATGATGCCAGATCTGCATGTTGCACCATGAGCATGTGTTTCACTCAGATGTCCCACGGAGGAGTGAAATCGCAGGGCTCTTGGCTTTCTCTGACGGACTGACCTCCCTCAGCATCCTGTTCCCAGGCCCATCCCTGTGGCTGCCAGTGGCGCTATTCCGTCCTCTCGTGGCTGAGCGGTGCTCCTTTGTGCACATGGACCAGTCTTCTCTCTCCATCCTATCGCGGGACACGTGGCTGTTTCCGTGTCTTGGCCGCCGTGAATAATGCTGCTGTGAACACAGGGGGGCCTAGATCTTCGCATATAAATGGTTTTGGGAATAAACCCAGGAGAGGGCCTGCTGGGTCGTATGGTAGCTCTGTTCTTAGTTTTCTGAGGCACCACCAGACCAGACTTGCCTTCCATGGTGGCTGTACCGGCCACCTTCCCACCAGCAGTGATGGGCCTCTCCCACACTCACTGCGGGCCCGTGGCTGGTCCCTCCCTGCAGGCCCATGGCTGGTCCCTCCCTCGGGGCTGTGGCTGGTCCCTCCTGCGAGCCCGTGGCTGGTCCCTCCCTGCGGGCCCGTGGCTGGTCTCTCCCTGCGGGGCCGTGGCTGGTCCCTCCCTGCGGGCCCATGGCTGGTCCCTCCTGCGAGCCGTGGCTGGTTCCTCCCTGCGGGCCCGTGGCTGGTCCCTCCCTGCGGGCCCGTGGCTGGTCTCTCCCTGCGGGGCCGTGGCTGGTCCCTCCCTGCGGGCCCATGGCTGGTCCCTCCTGTGAGCTGTGGCTGGTTCCTCCCTGCGGGCCCGTGGCTGGTCCCTCCCTGCGGGCCCGTGGCTGGTCTCTCCCTGCGGGGCCGTGGCTGGTCTGGACCAGCGTGGACAGGGCGCCTGGAGAAGGCTCGGTGGGATCTGCATGGCTAATGATGTGCAGAAAGATGTCGGGGGCGGCTCTGCAGACAGGGTTCACACCTTGCTCTCGACCTTGCTCTCGGGAACACGGTGAAACGGAGCCCCTGTGGTTCCCAGTCCGCAGACCAGGAAGTGGAAGGGTAGGGCGAGGAGGTGACTGGCCCAGCGGCTGGATCCCTGGGAGGAAGCTGACCTTGTGCTCAGGCCCCAGCCGGAGCCTGGATGCTGAACCCATTGCCTTGCCCTCACGAGACGCCGCTCCCTCCTCCTCGGGGAAGACGGAGAGGCAGGAGGCGGCGGATGCGGGTGGGCAGCAGACCCCGAGCCACAGACCAGATCCACACCAAGCAGATGTCGGTGGGCACAGCCAGTGGAAGGCTCTCCTCTCTGCGTGCCGCCCGCAGTCTCCGCCTTCCCCACCAGGTGGCGCTCACAGCTCCTCTCCCCGCAGTCCCCGCCTTCCCCACCAGGTGGCGTTCACAGCTCCTCTCCCCGCAGTCCCCGCCTTCCCCACCAGGTGGCGCTCACAGCTCCTCTCCCCTCAGTCCCCGCCTTCCCCACCAGGTGGCGCTCACAGCTCCTCTCCCCGCAGTCCCCGCCTTCCCCACCAGGTGGCGCTCACAGCTCCTCTCCCCGCAGTCCCCGCCTTCCCCACCAGGTGGCGCTCACAGCTCCTCTCCCCGCAGTCCCCGCCTTCCCCACCAGGTGGCGCTCACAGCTCCTCTCCCCGCAGTCCCCGCCTTCCCCACCAGGTGGCGCTCACAGCTCTTCTCCCCTCAGTCCCCGCCTTCCCCACCAGGTGGCGCTCACAGCTCCTCTCCCTGCAGTCCCCGCCTTCCCCACCAGGTGGCGCTCACAGCTCCTCTCCCTGCAGTCCCCGCCTTCCCCACCAGGTGGCGCTCACAGCTCTTCTCCCTGCAGTCCCCGCCTTCCCCACCAGGTGGCGCTCACAGCTCCTCTCCCCGCAGTCCTGTCTGCCCGACCTGCAGGGAGGAACAGGATGGCGTTGTGGCTGCAGGGGAAGGAGCTGGTAGCAGCCCGCTCATGGGCCACCTCTTTACATGGAATTAAACTCATAAAATGCATAAAGGCTCCATCAACTATAAAAACCAAACAATGACTTCTTTTCCCCTTCGAGAAGGCAAGGGACCTAAAGGTGCTCGCAGAGGGGCACACACATGCGCGCGCACACACGCATACACACACACACACACACCTTCCCACAGCCCACTGCACACTCACCCAGACACATGCCCGCCCCTGCACCCACCCCAACCACACACGTCCACATGCTACACACATTTACCCCCCACATCCACGCGCGCGCACACACACACACACACACACACACGTGCACACACACACTCCAGAACTGGGATCTGCTCACAGGAATCCCTTAAAGGCCCCTAGGGCTGCAGGACAGGGTAACAGTTTTGCGCCTATTTCATCAGGGTCATTTGCTGATTTTTTCTTTGTAAAACACTACGAGTTACTGGCTTTACAAAACCACTGCATTTCAGGGCCCCCTCGCCCTCAGCACACGCCCAGGCTACACCAGCCCTGTGCCAGGAGCTGTTCTAACTGGGGCCTGGTTTCCTCTGATAATAAGCTGAGCTTTTAGGGCTCCGCCCTCCCCCCTTGGGGAGCCCCTTCCCCAGCACCACCCGCCGTGTCTGCAGACGGGACCCTCCTCTCCCTGGGGACCCAGCCCAGCGGCCCGGCCGCCTGACCTTGCAGGAGGCAGGCCCTTCCCAGCGGCAGGAAGAGAGAGGGAAAGACAGAGAACCATCGATGTGAGAGAAACATCGCTGGGCTGCCTCCTGCACACACCTGACCAGGGCCCGGTCCGGGCAGGAGCCTGCGACTGAGGCATGTGCCCTTGACCGGAATCGAACCCGGGACCCTTTGGTCTGCAGGCCCACGCTCCATCCACTGAGCCACACGGGCCAGGGCTTTAAATCACACATATTAACAATAATCACGATCATGATGACGATGACATGGTGCTCTTGGACCCACCCCCCCGATGCGAACAGCAGGTCT